CCTGGAAACATGGAAGGGCAGGCTGGATGTAGCTCAGGACAATCTGATGAAGCTGAAGATGCCCCTTCTCACTGCAGGGGCTGGATTAGATGGGATTGAAAGGAACTTTCCAACCCAAACCATTTCCTGCCTTTAATCCCCAGGACGCTCTGCACCAGTGGCTCCCTGTTGCAGACATCTTTTATGAAAAATCCTTTCCTTAGGATTTTTCCTCCTGAGAAGCCTCAGGAACAAAATGTAAACATTGATTATCTGCTGCTGTGGAATGCAACAGGTGCATCTGTGATTGGCCCATGTTGGATGTTTGTAATTAATGGCAAATCACAGTCAGCTGGCTCAGACTCTCTGACTGAGCCACAAACATTTGTTATCATTCCTTCTTTGCTATTCTATTCTTATGTAGCCTTCTGATGAAACCTTTTCTTCTATTTTTTTTAGTATAGTTTTAATGTAATACATATAATAAAATAATAAATCAAAGCCTTCTGAAACATGGAGTCATATCCTCCTCTCTTCCCTCATCCTCAGACCCCTGTGAACACTGTCACAGTTCCCATCCCACATTCCAGTCTCACACAACTCAACCAGCCCCCCACCAGCCTGGATATCCCTCAAGCTGTAAACAAAACCAAACCCCAGCAAGGTCAGAGCAAGCAAACAGTGGGAGACGTGGGGAGCTGGCTCATTCCCACTGCAAATGTCATTACAGACTAATAGAGAGAAATCCTTCCTTCCCTCTCCTGCATCTCTTATCCTTCATGCTCAACTAGGCACCAGCAGTGTTTCAAACATTCAAACCACGCATTATTAGCACTGATATTTTATTTTTTTTAATAATAATTACTGCTACTTTTGGCTCCAGAAGAGCCTGAAGCTGAGGAGATGTTCCCACTCCCTTTATTATGTTTTCTTTCTTCTGCTGCACCAAAAGCTTGCAGGAATAAGCAGCTCCCCTGGCAATAAGCACATTAAGGCACCAATTCAGCTGATGGAATGGTGCTTCTCAGAGAACTCGCAGCACTGCCAGAGTGCTCTGCACACTTCATCTTCCTCCAGCTCAGCAGCACCTCCGAGTTTTCACTATCTGAGGCTTTCCAAAGTGCTTTTAATGAAATAAGCTGTCAATCCCACAAGTCCATCAATGACAATTCACAGCACAAACGGCTCTTGCTGCTGCTGTGACAAATCCAGAGGACTCTAATCCTGGGCAGACAATAAAAATCCAAGTGCTCTGGAGCAGAAGGTGAGCATGGGAAGCAGGTCCCAGCTTTGTGACATCCTGGGGTGGGCTGGGGGTGTCACCTGCTGCTCTGTCTGGCCTGGCTCCAGCAGCATTTCACTATTGCAAACCCTTCCTTTCACACTTCCTAACCACTGGTGACTCCCCTTGTGGGCACAGGACTCTGATGAGACATGAATTCACCAATTACAGCTACAGGAAAATGCTAAATTTGGGTAATCCAGCACCTGTCCCACACACCACAGCCATGGAAAACAAGGATCTCTAGATCCCAGAGCTCTGCACTATTGCAAACCCTCTTCTTCACACTTCCTGACCACTGGAGACTCCCCCTGAGGCACAGGCTCTGATGAGACATGAACTCACCAATTACAACAGGAAAATGATAAATTTGGGAAACACAGCACATGCCCCACACAGTACAGCCATGGAAAACAAGGATCTCTAACACCTTGACAACCACAGGAGCTGCCAGCAGCTCCTTCAGCCCAACATTCCCTTCATCCTCAGCTCCCTTCTCCAGTGCTAGGTCAGGTCTACCCTGAAACCCTGGCACAGATCTCAGCACCCCCTCCTTTCCCCCAGAGCAGCCCTAGACCTGAGCTCAGGGCAGCCTGGATTGTGCCTGGGAGGGGATGGGGAAAGCCAAGCCAGCTGCCAAATCCCAATCCCCAAATCCCTTTGGTGGGGATTCCTCCACAGCTGGAATGGAGGAACCCCAGTGCCCACAGGAAAACGTGGCCAAAGCCAAGGATGGGAATGCTGGGGGCTGGAGCACCCTGCCCAAAGGGAGGCAGGGCCCAACCACCCTGTGCCACAGCTCAGCCCACCAGGGTGAGCACACAGACCCCTGCAGGGCTCAGTCACACCATCCCACAGACCCCTGCAGGGCTCACTTCCACCATCACACTCCTCATGATCCCACAGATCCCTGTAGGGCTCAGCTCCATCACACACCTCACAGTGCTGCTTTCCATTTCAGGCCTTTGCATAACAAATCCTTCAGCCTCAGGATAACCAACCCTCAACCCCAGTGACAAACCCTCCTTCCAGGCATGCAGATGGAAGGGTGCCTCTGGAGGGAGGCAGCCAGAAGGGGATTTTTCAGTGCCTGAAGAATGTTGTAAATATTCTTCAGACACTGGAAGGAGAGAGAATATTCTATAAATATATAAATTATTAAAAGAATATATAAATATTCTTCAGGCCACTGACAAGAGGAGGCAAGATGGAGGGAACTGGGTGTGTCCAGCCTTTCTCCTTCTTCTTCTTGGCCTCCATCTTCTGCTGTGATGTTGGCACTTGGTTTAGATGTTGTTGGATTGGTTTAGAGTAGAAGCTCACTGTCTAACACAAGTGATAGGTGTTGGAAAGTAATTGTAAACATTGTACATGTAGTTTTAGTATAAAGACATAACACTGCCCTGGGGGCAGGCAGCGTGCCTGGAACTGTCCTGCTGGATGGACCTCGGCAGGGCAGGAGAAAGAATTTTATAGACAAGAAACAATAAACAACCTTGAGATGGAGAACTGAAGAGTTCCAACTTATTCTTCAAGTGCCAGTCTGGGAAAAGAGACTTTTAAGAACCTCAGGGTCACAGTGACCCGAAAGATCCCGAGACCCCTTCACCAAAGCCACTTTTGATTTACAATACAGGGGACAAAGAGAGCTGGCAGCTGCATGGGAGGAGCCCCCCAGGGCTGTGCTGTGTGTGACCCCCCTTTGCTCACCTTCTTCTCATCCCCCTCCTGCAGCAGCTGCAGGTGGCTCCTCTTCTCGCTGTCCCTGCGCAGGGAGCTGTGCTGGTGGTGGGGCAGCCCCGAGGGGGGGGACACGCTGCGGCCCTGCGGGTCCACCCACGTGTAGATGTGGTTGGTGACATAGCCCCCGGGGATGCGCCCCACCGAGTGCACCGACAGGTTCAGCTTCTTGCAGCCCTTCAGCACCTGCAAGGCAAGCCAAGGACAACGGGTCAGTGTGTCACCATCATAGTGTCTGACAAATCCCTTCCCCAGGACTTCTCTCCTGAGAAACCTCAGAAAAGAAATGTAAACAATAATTATCTGATTGCTTGGATTGTGGTCTGGAGGTTGCTTGCCAACAGGTGTGTCTTTGGTTTCATGTGAATTGTTTTTAATTAATGGCCAATCCCAGTCCAGATGTGTCAAGCCAAGGACAAGGAGCTAAAGTGCCACCATAATATTTTTGACAAATCCCTTCCCCAGGACTTCTCTCCTGAGAAGCCTCAGAAAAGAAATGTAAACAATAATTATCTGATTGCTTGGATTGTGGTCTGGAGGTTATTATTTTATTATTATTTGATTGCTTGGATTGTGGTCTGGAGGTTGCTTACCAACAGGTGCATCTTTGATTGGCTCCATGCGAATTGTTTTTAATTAATGACCAATCCCAGTCCAGCTGTGTCAAGCCAAGGACAAGGGGTTAATGTGTCACCATGATATTTTCTGAAAAATCCCTTCACCAGGATCTTTCTCCTGAGAAGCCTCAGAAAAGAAATATAAACAATAATTATTTGATTGCTTGGATTGTGGTCTGGTTGCTTCCCAACAGGTGCATCTTTGATTGATTCCATGTGAATTGTTTTTAATTAATGACCAATCCCAATCATTAATGTCTGGGACATGTGTCACCATGATATCTTCTAAAAAATATCTTTTAATAAATAGAAGTTCTTTGGTTCCATGTGAATTGTTTTTAATTAATGACCAATCCCAGTCCAGCTGTGTCGAGCCAAGGACAAGGGGTTAATGTGTCACCATGATATCTTCTAAAAAATCCTTTCACCAGCATGTTTCTCCTGCATAAAAAGCTGGGATTTTTTTGTTCTTTCCTCACTGTAACACAGAGAAGGCAAAGCTGCTGCTGAGAAAACACGGAGAAAAGCTTTCCCATCAGCCAGAAAAGAGCAGAGTGGGGAGGGGAGGTGGGCAGAGCCATGGCCGGGATGGGATAAACCCGGGTCAGAGCAGGTCAGGGGGCAGTGCTGGGGCAGAGCAGCACTCACCCTTGTCCCAAGTCCTCTCCAGCCCCCTCACTTCACCTTCCCCTAATGCAGGAGCCCCTTTAGGCACTGGAAAGTGCCCCAAGGTCTCCCTGGAGCCTTCTCAGTGACTGTGCTGGCACCAAACAAAACCAGGGTGGGCAAAGGCTCAGCTCAGCCCCAGCTCTGCCCCCACAGCTCCAGTCTGGAGAAGCTCCTGGTGCCTGCAGGGAACATGCACAGCACTCCCAGAAATTCAGCCACTGAGTTACCAGCTGCCTGCCGCAGCACAAGCAGTCAATTAATGAAGGAATAATTACTCAGTACATCCTCACACTTAAACCAGCATGCACAGAGATGGCCTTGGGGGCCACAGGAGGTGATTAGCTGCTCTGCCCCTCCAGCTTCCACTGTGAGGAGCTGACACAGAAACTTCAATTAGCACAGAGGAGTTGTCCCTGGGGACAGATGTAAGTGCTGATCCCTCCAGAGGCCTCAGGGACACCAGCACTGCAGATCTGCTCTCAGAAAGGAGGAGTTTGGGGTTTTTTTCCCATTTATAGATCATTTTGATGAGCTGCCCTGCAACGTCTGCGGTCCCCACTGAGCAAAGCTTGTGCCTGGGAAGGACTAAAAGCAGCAGCTCCTCAGGAAAGGGTAAATGGCCAGGAATAGCGGGCTGGCTGCATCCCAGCCCTGAGCTGGCAGCGCTGCTGCTCCTCCCTGCCAGAGCACAGAGAATCCAGTTCAGCATCTCCATCCCACACAGCAAACCTGGCTGCAGACCTGTCACATGCCCCAAGGTCACCATGTGCCACAAGGACTGCCAAACCAGTGGGGACACCCACAGAGCATTCACCCCCCTGGCTGCTCTGTGACAGTGGTCACAGGGGTTTTCAGGTAAGGGAAGAGATAAGAATGTTGACTCCATGTTACAGAAGGCTTGATTTATTATTTTATTATATATATTACATTAAAACTATACTAAAAAGAATAGAAGGAAAAGTTTCATCTCAGAAGGCTGGCTAAGCTAAGAATAGAAGGGAATGAATAATAAAAGTTTGTGTCTTGGACAGAGAGTCCAAGCTAACCGGGCTGTGATTGGCCATTAATTAGAAACAACCACATGAGACAATCACAGATCTACCTGTTGCATTCCACAGCAGCAGATAATCATTGCTTACATTTTGTTCCTGAAGCCTCTCAGCTTCTCAGGAGGAAAAATCCTAAGAAAGGATTTTTCATAAAAGATGTCTGTGACACTGCTCCCCAGCCCCTGTTCCTGCAGCTCCCCAGGCCCTCAAACACATCCCTGCAGGGATCTCCTCTCTCCCTGGGCACTCAGAGCCCAGCTGGGCTGCTCCCCATGCTCCATCCTGCCTAGATCTCTCTGGGATGGTGGAGCAGGTCCTGAGCCCTCTGCCCATTCCAGGGTTTCCCTCTCCCATGGGCACCATGGCTATGCCAGGCTTCAGGGCAAAGAGCAGCTTCCTGAGCCAAACCCAGGTTCAGGGTGGGCTGAACTCCACAGAAATCAGTGAGCTGGGGGTGGCAGGGACCCTTCTCACCAACCCCAGAGCTACCAGGGCAAGGGGAGCACCTCAGTAAATGTATAAAGGACTCTGCAGTGTGTCCCCAGCCTGCTGCAGCGCTGCCTCTCTGGCAGACACTGTCACCAGCAGTGTCCTGCTGGCTTTCCCAGCTCTGTGCACTCCGTGCCCACCCTTGGATGGAGCCCTGGCTCTGTGCAGCTGCTCCCCTCCCCTCGGGCTCTCTGCTGTCACCTTCATGCATAAAACATCTGCCTGAGCCCACATCCCTGCTCCTGGTGGCCCTGTCAAGGCAGCTGCAGGGGGACATAACAATCCCCGTGTAAATCTCTGGCCTCTCATCCCTGCTAATTTCCCTGTGCCCCCAGAGAGCAGCTCTGCTGCTGTGCCTGCCCTGCCAGGGGGTGACATTTGGCTCAGGCTAAATGGCTCTGCCAGGCTTCAGCAGCCACCCCTGCCCTGTCCCTGGGGCAGCTGTGACACTCCAGGGTGGAACCAGCCTGGGCCTGGTCCCTTTTCCTGTGCCTGGTGCTCCTCCTGAGCTCTGTCCTTTCTCCTGTGCCTTGTGCTTTCTCCTATGCCCTGTCCCTTTTCCTGTGCCCTCCTCCTGTGCTCAGTCCCCTCTCCTGTGCCCAGTCCCTGCTCTCATGCCCAGTCTCTCCTGTGTGGTGCAAACCCCGAGGTTTCCTCTGCTCCTTCTCCTCCCTGCCAGGATGGATTCTCTGGGGAAGGGAGGGAAGGGGATCCCTGTGCCATGTCCAGTCCTTCCCTGAACACCTCCAGAGATGGGCACTCCAAATCTCCCTGGGCAGCCCCATCTGATGTTTCACAACACTTTCCATGGGGAAATTCCTGCTGATGTTCAACCTGAGCCTCTCCTGAGGCCGTTCCCTCTGCTCCTGTCCCTGTTCCCCGGCTGTCCCCTCCTGTCAGGAGCTGTGCAGAGCCACAAGGGCCCCCTGAGCCTCCTTTGTTCCAGGCTGAGCCATTTCCAGCTCCCTCAGCCTCTCCTGGAGCTCCAGCCCCTTCCCCAGCTCCATTCCTTTCCTTGCAATTGCTCCAGTTCTTCCTTTGAGGGGTCCAGAACAGGACAGAGGATTTGAGGTGGCCCCAGCAGTGCCCAGCCCAGGGGGACATCACAAGGGACAGGCTCTGGTTTCTACAAGGGAAAACTTTTTCCTCCCAGACACACAAATTGTCCTGCGTGCACTGAGTGCAGAGACACCCCCAAAGCCACAGGAGAACTCACCCTGTGAGGTTTTTGGGACATGAGGGGCACAATGAACCTCACCCCACCACCCCTAAATAACCAATTCTACCTCCTTCATGCCCTGTGCAGAATCAGGCAGTGCAGGCTGCATCTCCATCTCCTTTCTCAAGCCACTGCAGGGATTTGCAGCCTCAGATAAGATTTGGTTTTGCCCCATCTCTGCTGTGTTTAAGGACCACAGGGTGGGAGGTTTAGGGCTGGCAGCACAGTGTGCAAGCTCACCTGCCAGCAGCCCAGCTTACAGAAATCATTGATGTGAATCTGGGAATTACTGCCAAAACCTTCAGCAGGGAAACAGTCACCGACTGCCCAGAAATGTCAGCAGAAGCAGCAAGTGCCAGAGAGAGGGGCAGATTGATTCCATGAGGCCACTGATCCCCTAACAACACTCCATTTAATTATCAAGCCCTCTGACAGGGAAGGAGATCGTTTAAACTGATCAAAATAGCAAACACACATCTCATGTGGGCCACAATTACCTTCAAAAAACCCCATAAAACCCAAACAGCTCCCAGTACATCATGTTCTTTCCTAGGATCCAGAGGGGCAGCTGCCACCCTTCAGGTGGTTTTATAGGTTTTATATCAAGAGGTTTTATAGAGATGGCTTCAAACCCTGCAGGTCTGACACCACTGAGGGCTTTCTTCTCCCATCTTCACCATTCCCCCACTTATTCCCCACTTCCCAACAGCCCTGAGAGGTAAAAACACCTCCAAAAATCCCCCCAGAAAGAGCAGAGCTGCCAGAAAGGAACAGCAATGAATCACCAGGATGCTCCTGGCAGCCTGGGGCAGGGACAGCCCTCTCCCTTCACCTTCCCCAGTAAAGGAGCAGCCCAGAGTGGGAAGATCCCAGTTGGATACTGGGAGCATTAACCATGAGCCATCCTCCTTCTCAGCACAGCCTCCAGCTGCTTTTCCACCAGCAGGAACAGCCTCCTGGAAATGGTTTGGCATGGGATAATGGCTATGGGATAA